TATGCTTGTTGGCCGTCTGCATTTCCTCTTTGGAGAAGTGTCTTTTTAGCTCTTCTGCCCATTTTTTGATGGGGTTGTTTATTTTTGTTGAGTTTTGTCAGTTCTCCGTATATTTTTATGATGAGTCCTTTATCACTGGTTTTGTGTGAGAAAATTTTTTCCTAGTCAGTGGGAAAAAATTACCAAAAACATGTCTGTTTTTGGTAGTTTCTCTTTTGCTGTACAGAAGCTCTTTAACTTGATGTAGTTGGGCTTTTTTTAAAAAAAGATTTATTTATTTATGCCTATAACAACTGGGAAGTAGGCCAGAGGTGCGGGAGTGAGAAGATAATGCCACAGAGTGCAGAGCAGAACAGGTGGATTTACTGAAATGCGTTGTTGAGGGGAGCAGTGGGGAGACAGGAGAGGTCTGCTGCACCCTGTGGGTCAGCTGTAGGGCGGGGAATGAACCCTCACTGAAGAGGCTGCAACTAGTTGCAGTGCTGTGTCACCAGGGAGGGCCGGACCCCTAAATAAACACTAAATAAACATTATTTAGTGTTTTTGAGCTTGTGAACACCAGGTCCACTCTGCTTCAAGGTCTGTGGGCCATCGGCCTTGAAGGGAGAGCTGCGCCCGCAGAGGTGGTGATGGCATTTCCAGGCCAAGAGTTCATTCACTTCAGGTGTTTGTGACGGATTGAGCTCATTTATTTTTGTGCATTTATCTATTTTTTTTTACCCTAACAGGAACCTTACTATAGATTCAATGACCTCAAGTACAGATGGATCTCGTGGGATAACTGGACCTACAGCAAGGAATTTAAACTTCCCTTTAACATCAGGTCTGTATTCCAGCCTTTCTCTTTTTCTGAGCAGTGCTCTTTGGTTTAAGTTGCATACCAGAGACAGTGAGATTGCAGCCTCATGCTGGGAGGTGAATGTGGAATTGTGTTCTGAATTGTCTGTGGGGAGGCCACTTCCTTGCTCCTAACTGCCTCATTGCTTCATTTTTCTGGTGGTTTTAGTAGTCACATAAAGCAGGTCGGCTTTCTCACCTGCCTTTCCTCCTGGCTACCCCAGGAGTGGGAGCAACGTACGTCACCGGTCTGCGGTGGTGTCGGGTGGCCGGCGAGGCGATGGCCTGGCCTGCCGTTGTGGCAAGAGGCTATGAGGAAAAGCTCAGGCAGTTTTTAGGAATGTTCTGCATCATTCTCAGCAGCTGTTGCACATGAGGCAGGATGGCCCCAGTAATGTTGCCCACCATTACTGCTTAACACAAAAAAGTTGCTGTTCCTTTTGTGTGACTTCTTGGTCATTATTCTACACTGGCAGGAGAAAGCGCGCCAGAGCACTGGCACCACGTCCTGCGAGCTGTTTCCAGATAAGCCCTGCCCACCTTGCCCTCAACAACCCTGAGGTTGTTCCGTCTCCTGCTTTTCCAGTGGAGCATTGTTCCCTTCTCCCCAGCTTGTCCTCTTGTGTTCTCTCCAAGTGGGGTTCACTTTGCCCACCATTCCTCTTGACTCACTCCATTCTGTCTGTATTTGTTTCTTCTGCAAATCTCATATCCACAGCCCTGTGGTGCTTGGTCCTTTGACACCGGCTGGTTCCGCTCAAAGCTCATCCATGTTGTCACTTATCAGCCTTGTTCTTGATCTTTTTAAAGATTTATTTACTTGTGCACATTAGAAATGCAGTGCAGGCCAGAGGTAGAGGTGAGAGGGTATACCAGAGACAGTGGGGGGGCAGAACAGGCAGATCAACTAACATACACCACTGAGGGGAGCAGCGGGGAGACAGGAGAGGTCTCCTGAGCCCTGTGGGTCCTCCTTGGCTGGGGATCGAACTTGTGGCTGCAGTGGCTGTGGACAGCTTCATAGTTGCTGTGCCTTAACACCTTGTGACATCTTACCATGTGGATCGACTCATGCAGTGTTTCTTATGTGCTCTATTTCATTCCTGTTTATTCTATTCTTCCAGAAGTTGATGTTCCTTCCTGAATCTCCCGTGTGACAACAGTCCGGAGCCCCTGTTAGGGAGTCCCTCAAGACCAACTCCCCGACTGCACAGTGGGGGCAATCAGACACTTCCCTTTGTGTGTTTGGGCTTGCACGGCACACAGAGACTGTTGGGGCTCCCTGCGGGCTTAGCGGAGGGCAGGCCGGGTGTTCGGGGTCAGTGCCTTCTCTTCCTTGGTGTTGCCAGGTGTGGGTGCTGGTGAGAGCGTCAGGTCTGCTTTTAGATGCGGTCCAAAGAGGAACTTTGTGAAGTTCTAGAAAATATGTTGATGCGTTCACAAATTATAAGTTTGTGCTCATGGTTTTGTGGTGCTTGTTATGACAAAGATTAGTTGGATTATTCAACATAAAAATATATTAAACACTACTTAGGAACATGTCCTTAGCTGTAAGATGTCCTGTGAACTATGTACACAAACACTTTGTTCTTTGTGAAATGCATATTCCTGTAGTTCTAACTAAAGATAAGTTATCCAACTTCATGCTTCATACGTCTTTTACAAATCTTTGCTTTTTTAGTCAATGGCAAAAAGTGGTTATGATTTTCGAGGGAGTTGACACAGTGTCCCAAATCCTGCTGAATAATGTTCCCATCGGAAAGACAGACAACATGTTTGACAGATACGTAAGTATGGCCCCTGCAGGTACCACAGGCTCTTGGGAGCTCTGACTAGCCACTTGGCTTCTCGGTGGCCCCGCCCCATCTGTGAGATGTTGAGAACACTGGGAACCTCACGGAATTCCTGAGGATCCCCCAAGCTGGTGTCCAGATGTGAGTCCAGCTATCAGCACCCTGAAGTGTCCTCTTAATCCCCGTCCCATCTGTTGTTCATGACAACTGACCAGCAGTTTTAGAACATTCCAGACAAAACTAAACTAAGACAGGCTAGAAATCTGACTGCAGACCTGAGGCTGCAGAGAGGGAGGCAGGGGAAGGGACAGAGGAGAGAGACTGGTGGGCTGTGGTGGCGGCTGTGGGCCTTGGGGATGGGTGTGTTAAGGAAACATCCTGAGGAGTGATCCTGTTCCCCTGAGTCATTCACAGTGTTGCAAACCAGTGTTGCCTCAGTAAGGAATAATACAATGAAAAAATAAAAACAGTCTGACGCGGGTCGGTCAGACTGAGCTGGAATGTCCAGGAGATGCAGGCAGTCCTGGGCCATGAGCCCATGGGCCGGGTAGACACTCCAGGGCTGAAGGCCTGTCCTGCCCGCTCTGTTTGCCCGGCGCGTCACTTCAGTAATAACGGAAGGCCAAACCCAGCAGCGCAGCCTGGGCTGTGAGAGAAAGATGGCCGTGTCCTGCTCCGAGCAGAGCTTTGTCTCTGTAAACGCAGCCCTGAAGATGCCGGCGACTTGGGGCGCCTTTCCATGCCCTGCGGACATCGGGGTGGCACCTGCAGGCTTCCTCCCACACCTGTCCTTCCCTCCCCTCAGGTCTTCGACGTCACCAGGCTGCTCCGGGCCGAGAATCGGGTGGAGCTGCGGTTCCAGTCCCCTGTGCTGTATGCGGCCCAGCAGAGCGCAGCCCACACGGCCTACCAGGTGCCCCCCGCCTGCCCCCCGGCCGTGCAGAAGGGCGAGTGCCACGTCAACTTTGTGCGCAAGGTAAGGGCCCATGATGCGGGCCTGAGCCTGAGGCTGGGGGCTCCCTGGTGGGGCCCTTCGAGGGATGTGGGCATTTGGGGTAACAGTCAAGACAGGCTGCGAACTTTTTGGGAGCACCTTGTCTTCCTGGGTTTCCTCATGAAGGTGAGCAGATAAGAGGCTCATCATGGAATGTTCCTCACACCCTTCTCACCACACTCTCAGGTTTGCTTGTTACTTGCTACGAGGAAGCCTCCTGCACATACTAATATAGCTCCTGTCCTGTTCTTGCATTTTATTGTTAGGTTCTCATAAAAACCTAACAAAGATCCCGAAGCCCACAGTCTGTGGTGTTTCTTTGGTTCCATCTGCGTGACTTGGAATTATTCTATCCCATGGTGACAGAAATAGCCTAGGAGACACTGATTTTTCCATTTTATTGTTAGTAAAAAGTTTTGATGTGGTAAGATACTGCCCTAAGCTCTTACCTGTGGGATGAAGTGGAGCCCTGCTGTTGTGGAACAAGTTTCTTTAAAACCGAACCCCTGTTCCTGGCCGCAGCACCCCTGGCTGCCCCTCCCGGGGCCCTGCAGCCACCGCTGTCTGGGTGTCTATGAGTATGCCCTCCCCCTCGCCCCTTGATGAGAGACACTGGGTGTTTGTCTCACTGTGGTTGCTCCACGTCACACGCTGCCCTCCGGGTCCACCTGCCATAGCCACGGCGGGACTCCTTTTTAAAGACGGGTGACAGTCCCCTGTGTACCCGCGCCACATTTTGTGTGCTGCGCTCGTCTGTCGTGGCTGGTGGGTGCTTGCGCTCGGTGGCTGCGCTGAGTGACGCTGCTCGGCACGGGCACGCACGTGCTGGTGGCTCTGAAACCCCGCCAAGTCCCTCCGGGTGCGTACTCAGAACTGGGGTTGCTGGCTGGCCTGGCCGTTCTGCTCTTCGGTTTTTGGAGGATGTGGCATTCGCTTTGAACAGCGCAGTAATCATTTTTTCACTGTGAGGACGAAGGGTATTTTCCCGGCACCCTTAGCTACACCTTCAGTGACTCCCTGAGTGGGAGGCGTCTCTGGTCTGGGAGGCCGAGAAGTGCGGCGTCGCTCTCTCGTCCTCAGCCGCCTCCGGCGCCATGGCCAACACGAGCCCCCTGCCGCGGCCTCCTTTTCTGTGTGCCTTGCGTGATGGGCCCTGTTCAGTTCTAGCAGGTTGCGCCTGTGCCCTGTTGCTGGCCCTTCCCTGCAGAGCCCGGTGCCCAGGCCCTCTGTTCTCACATGGCCTCGCCCCCTCACCGCTCACTGACCCGCTTCCCTGACCCCCAGGCTTCAGCGGTCAGTCGGCCCCTGCCCTGCTGAGGGGGGCTGGGCCCCCCACCCGCCCCTCGTCCCTGCTCCTTAGAGGAGGTGGGTGTTGCCCTCTCCAGTTCCGGAGCCCTCCCGTTCCTTTTCTGCGGCCTGCCTGCCTCGCGTTCAGCCTGCTGGCTTCCCTAGCGTGGAATAACCCCACCTCCTAGCCGGCAGCACCCCCTCTCCCCATTCGCCCCTTCTGTCCACTTCCCCAGAATGCTCTTTCAGAAGAAATCCCCCACAGTGCTCCACTTTCTCGCCGCCTTTGGACTGAGGTGCCAGCTCCGGCCGCCCTGGCCCCCGTCCCCTGCGCTGCCCTCATTCTCTGTCACCCCGCGCCTGGAGCTCTCGGTGCAAGCTCCTTCCGAAAGGGGTGCGCGCTCCCTCAGCACCGCAGGCAGCTCTCACCCCAAGTCTCCATGTAAAGGCGGTTTCTCAGGGAAGCTTGTCTCGCCACTCTGTGCTCCCCGTTTCCTCTGTGGGGTTCGGCGTGATGGCTGCCGCCTCACTTCCTGGTCGTCAGGGCCGTGGGCAGAGGAGCGGTGGGTGGCGCCTGGTGTCCCTGCCGTGGAGCCGGAGCACAGCGCAGGCTCCCCTGCGTAGGTGAAGCCCTCGGTGGGGGGGTGTGAGCAGGAGAGACCGGTCGCCCTTGGCGGAGACGTCACTTGCCGAGTCGGAGGCCGCAGTGTCTCTCCCTCCTCACGCAGGGCGGCGCCTCTGAACTGCCCCCGCGGCTTTGGGTCCTGAGTGAGAGCCGGGGCTCCCTGGCCACCTCGAGCCGTTTAGCACTTTGCTTCTGTCCTTTGTGGAAGCTCCTTTCTCTGTCCTCAGGGGCACAGAGGGGCGGCAGAAACGCTCAGGGAAGGCTTGGCCAGGGCAGGCCCGCTCTGACACGTCGTGCTCAGTCTGGGCTTCAGCGCACTCACATGTCTTCCTTCAGCGGATTTGATGGTAATTTTTCCCTGAGGTCTCAGACCTTAGAAAAATTATGCTGCGAGAAGTGTATTGTAAGGGCGAGAAGTGTATTATAAGGGCATCATCCCCCACTTGGGCTTGGAACCTGGTCAGTGACACGGACGTGGAGGGCCCAGCGTACAGACGGGCGGCGGGCGGCAGTGTCTGGCGTGGCCCTCGCCCCGGCCTGTGTCCTCTTGGCCTGTCTGGGGCTCTCGGTTCCAAAGCCAGGACCTCCGAGTCATGACTGCAGGACGCGCGCCAGCGTAGTCAGCCTGTCTAGCTCCTGAAACCTTCCCCAGGCGTCTCCTCACGCCTCAGGTCATTGCACAACACGCCTGGTGAACTTGGGTGTGGCTGTGGGGCCCCGGCAACCGGCCCGGGGACGTGCTAGGGCTGTGCAGAGGGGCCGCTGCGTCGCTCACCCAGCTTGGTAGTTTGAAGCATGAACGTCCAGTGAGATGGTGCGTTCTTAGGACACTTCTGCCAGATTCACCTGTGTGACTAAGGCGGAGATGCTCGTTTTGGTACCAGCTATCTTTGGCTTTGTGACAAATCACGTCAGTTTTTGCCTCAACCACAGTTATCACCAGTTTCTGCCAGTGGCCGGTGAGCGCGTGGCTTGGCTGTGGCTCTGCTCAGGAAGCCGTCGCTGTGCAGGAAGCCAGGCGTGGCCTGCGCATCGCCTGCGGCACACGCCCGAGGGCTGGGTCCAGCTTCCCACCTGCTGGGGGGCAGCCAGGAAGTGGTGTCCCTTCTAGGCTGGTTCCAGCTCTGCTCTTGCTGGCTAGAAGCCACCCACCCTGGCCCAGCCACCCCGAGGGAAGGGGCCCACGGGCGCATGTGCGTGCACACACGCATGCGCGCTGAACTGTGTAAACTGTCTGCCCTCCCCATCGCTGTGTTGAAGTCCTCAGAATACAGCCCTGCTTGGAGGTGAGGTCTGTAGAGCTCAGTCACAATGAGATTTAATTTGGGAGCTGACGGGGTGCAAATGGTGCCCCGCTGAGGAGGACATTTGGGCATTTGGACCAGTGTGGCTTCAGGGTGCGGGCATGGGGAGCAGGGAGGCTTCTCCAGTCCACTTCTGAGTGGACTGCAGAGAAACAGAACAAATGGTCAGTTTAATAACAAAACTTTGAAATCTGACTATAGAATTAAAGCTGCGAGAGGGCGAGTGGAAGGGGGGGAGCAAAGTGGGGAGGGGACCCAGTGGACTGGGTAGAAGACTGGGTGTCTGGGGGCCCTCCCTGGTGGCACGGCAAGTTAAAGCACAGCCCTAAGAAGACTGGTGTCTGGCGGTGGGGGTGGCTTGCTGACCGTAGCCCCCTCACTTCCCTCCCTGCTGGTCCCGAAGCTCACCTCCTTATCGCGGAGTAGTCCCCAGTGGATATAGCCCACATCTGCTCCCCCGCGTGGGGCCGCACCAAGGCAGCCTCGCACACGCGGGCACAGCCTTTCTGCTTTCAAAGGCTTTTCATAACAGGAAAGCCAGACCCTTCTGTAGTAGCTATCTGTGGCTCGGGACAAAGCTGTGATGAAGATACTTCGTACTGCGGAAGCCGTAACTCTGGTTATGTCAACCAGAATCCTCTGCTTCCCCTGAAACTACAGGAGCAGTGTTCCTTCAGCTGGGACTGGGGGCCTGCCTTCCCCACCCAGGGCATCTGGAAAGACGTCCACGTGGAAGCTTACAACGTCTGCCACCTCAGCGACCTCACCTTTGCCCCTCTCTATGGTAAGACACGCTTTCTTGGTTTCTCCTTGGACCTTCCCCCTTGTGATGAGAACTGGCGCTAGAATTTGAATATGACAATATACCTTTCAGAGGCTTCTTTTTAAAAACTTAGTGGCACATTACATGTGTAAAGGTGGAAAATGGAGACACGGTGGGGTTAGCATGCAGATTTATACGATAGCACATGTATGCTGGTAGGTCTACACCAAAATACCTTTCGATGTATTTGGGGGAAAAACATGATGGAAGGGGGCATGGAGGGTCAGGTCCCAGTGTTCTGAAGTCAGCCTTCTTTCTCGAAGGAGCCAGGCCTGCTGGCCGTCTCCCTGGCTGCCGGCAGTCACTCCAGACCCCTGGGCTGAGTGCTCCCACACCCTCTCTCTTCTGAGTGCCGGGAGCCCAGCCTTGTTGAGAGTCACCCGCAGACTAGAAGGCCACAGGCACAAAGAACGGTCTAGAGGTAAAGCTGCTGCTTTCTCAGGAACTGGTCACAGGACAGGAATGCTGCTGGGCCCCAAGAGGCTCTCGGCCACAGACCGAGCCATCGCCTGTCCGGTGCTTTGGAAACCCCACGTCAGAGGGTGTCTGGGAAGCTGGGAAAGCCGGGAGGGGGCCGGGGTCTAGACCTCGAAATGGGTAAGACTGGCACGAGGACAAGGATCCTGGTATTTTCAGGCTCATCGGCCCCTGGATGCCCCACCTTGGCCAAATCTGTATTTTCTTTTTTAAAGGTTTATTTGTGCATATAGAACCAGGGTACAGGCCAGAGGTACAGAGGTGAGGGGATTCACCAGAGACAGAGCGGGGAGCAGAACAGGCAGGTGGATGAAGTCCACTATTGAGGGGAGCAGCAGACGGGTCAGGAGAGGTCTGCCGCGCCCTGTGGGTCACCTTTGGGGTGGGGATTGAGCTCGTGCTGCAGGGGCTGTGGACAGCCTCACAGTGCTGCGCTCTGACCGTGCTGCGCTCTGACCCTGCGTCTCAGGGGGCCCCGCCTGGCATTTCAGATGGTGCATGTGCCCCTTCAAATTCATGTCTGTGCATCCTGGGGGAGATACCTGGGAGTGCTGCTGCTCATTGCACTCGTGTGCTAGACCCATTTTTACTACGTTGAGCAACCTCCATACTCACTGGCCCCAGGGCGGGCCCGTCTGTTCCCACCAAAGTAGCAGGCTCCTTTCTCTCGCTCGTTTACGAGCTTTTCACAATGGCACGTAAGCGTGCTTATACAATACATGTGTCCTGACGAGACACGTCATTGTTCAGTTTCTGCTAGCACAGAGCAAAACACTGTTGAGCATGTGGACATTAGCTGACTCTTGACATGTGGTCACTGGGGACCTTTGTCCTGCGTGGGGGACTCTGTCCACCCCCGTCCACATTGGACTGCCCTCCCAAGGGCGTGCCTTCTTTCTCCACAACCTTGCCCCAGAGTTGGGGGAGTGGATCCACCTCGCAGCTACACCCCACCTGCCTGACAGAGGCGGTTGAAGGTCACTGCTGCCCTTGGCCTAGGATGTGATGAGGGGATACCGCAGGAGAGGTCAGCAAGGGCTGTCGGTGTCGTGGCTCGTTTCCTGCCTCTGTTGCTCATGCAAGCAGGACTCCATTTCCCTGGCATTTGTCTCTAGCTGCCGTCACAGAACAGCAGCACTCACCTTGGGAGTCTCGGGCGCGCCGGCAGTTTGCATGAGTAGTCTCTGCCCGGTGAGCTGCCTTGTGACCTCAGTGGATGTTTTCCCTCTGAAATTTGTTTGTCCTTGTCCTTGTTTGGGGGGTGAGCTCTGCAGGTTGTCCACTCTGCCTGGATGTCATCCTTGGGGATTCTGTCCTCCTTGCGGCTCAGGGAAGCCGGGAAAGCTGTTGTGACCACCCGTCCGCCTGCTGCCCTGGCTCCTGGAGCTGTGAGCCCCCGCGGACCCGCCCTGGATGGGCCCAGCCCGCTGGCGGGAGGCGGCAGCTGCTCTCTGAGCTCCGTGCTGGCCGTGGTCATTGCCACCGTGTGGTCACTGGTGCCGGTGCCCTCCCCTGCCCCCAGCAGCACGTGCGGCTGCTCCTCAGGGAGCTCGCCAAGCCCCGCCTCTGAATAGCTCTTCCCAGAGGAGTGAATCCTTTTTCATTTTCAAAAGCAGCCCCCCCCCCTCCAAACACACCCCGGGCGACCAGCGTGGTTCCCGATGTCCTGCTGGGTCCCGCCACCCCAGATGCCAGAATTCCGATGCCCGGTTCTTCGCTGTGACCTTGGGGTTATTCCCTCTGCGCAGCTCCTCATTCAACAGTGCTGCTCATGTTTACAGCAGGCATCTCCGCGGGTCCCAGCAGGCCGCGCAGCTGCTGTCCCTTCCCCAGGCGCCGGCCACAGCGTGGCGTCCCCCGTGGCGGAGCAGGACTTGGCCCTGGGCACTGAGGGCGCTCAGCCTCCCGCTTCCAGGCTCAGGTGTTTTCCTCCTTCCAAAGACCCCTGAGGAAGAGGGCACCTGCAGCCCCCGCGGCCCCGGTGCTCTCGTTCACCTGGTGTTTGCTGTGGGCGCAGGTTCTGAAAGGCCACGGCACCTTTACTTTTGGTTTTTCTCTTCTCTCACCTACGGATTTCGCCAGGTCTGCCCACAGAGCGGCTCTCACGGGCACACACACCCTGTGCGGTGCGTGGAAGGCAGAGGACAGCAGGTGGGGTGGTGCCGGCCTGCCAGCTTGGTCTTGAAAGAACCCCAAGGCGCAAACTTCATGCTCAGCATATCTCATCAGGAGATGACACACCTTTCCTCCCTTTGTGCCTCAGATGACTACACCCAGGTGTGGAATCTTGAGATAGAGGCTTATTTTGATGTTGCCAGCCCAGAGCCAGTCAGCGGCCAAGCGACCATCTCCATCCCCAAACTGCAGATACAGCAGAGATACCCCGTGGCGCTCCAGCCTGGGGGGAGGATGGTGCGGTTACTTGTGAAAATTAACAAGGTGAGTACTGGGACTCCCGAGTCGAGCTTGAAGAGCTTCTGAGCTGGGGGGTGGGTACGGAAGGAGAGCACATATTTTCCACACCTCCCCCGTTTTTGTGTTTATATCTGCACAGAGGGGTGATTTCCCCAAATCGGAATTAAGAGGATATGTGGTACTTTGGCATCTTTCCTCTCAAGAAGTCAGGTGTTTTACGTGCATATATATAATACAACACATGTAAGCACACACATCTATACAGTACATGTAAGTATCCACCTGTGTATAGATAACACACGTGCTCACTCTGCTCTTTCTTAATAGAACACTAATGTGGAAACCTGGTGGCCTCGTGGGCATGGACCACAGACTGGGTACGACATGCTGGTTCTTTTCAAGCTGGATGGAGGCTTAGTTATTCAAAAATCAGCTAAGGTAAGCCAGGACTTAAACATTCTGTGGAAAAAGTGAGCCTTGTTAAAACAACAGCGCCAGTCTTTACAGGAGAAGCAGCCAGCAAGCCCCACAGCCCTTCCGCTCAGCAGTCATCGCCTTAACCGTCACAGAGATTTCACATACCAGCTGCAAATCTGCTTTTTAAAATTTATTTATTTACGCACACAAGAGTTAGGGTGTAGGCCAGAGGTGTGGGCATGAGAGGACTCACCAGACACAGAGACAGAGTGGGGAGCAGAACAGGCAGATTTACTGAAACGCACTGCTGAGGGGAGCAGCAGGGAGGCAGGAGGGGTCTGCTGCACCATGTGGGTCAGCCCCTGGCCGGGGATCGAACTCGAGCTGCAGGGGCTGCAGACAGCTTCATAGTGCTGACACGCACCCCTGTAGATCTGCCCATTTTTTGATGGGGTTGTTTATTTTTGTTGAGTTTCATCAGTTCTCCGTATATTTTTGTGATCAGTCCTTTATCGCTACTTATGTGTGATGTGTGAGAAAATGTTTTCCCAATTAGTGGGCTGTCTGTCTGTTTTTAGTAATGTCTCTTTTGCTGTACAGAAGCTCTTTAACTTGATGTAGTCCCATCTATTTATCTTTGCCTTCACTATTGTGGCGTTGGGTGCTCTGTCTTTAAAGATGTCGCTGAAGTGTATGTCGTGTAGTGGTTTGTCCATCTTTTCTTTTTGGGTATTTTATGGTTTCCGTTCTTATGTCTAGGTCTTCAATCCACTTCGAGTTGATTTTTGTGACTGGAGTGAGGCAGTGATCTAGTTTCATTTTTTTGCATGTAGCTACCCAGTTTTCCCAGCACCACTTGCTGAACATATTTTCTTTGTTCCATTGTATCTTCTTTGCTCCTTTGTCAAAAATTAGGTGTCCATAAACTCGTGGGTTTATATCTGGGTTTTCTATTCGAATCCACTTTTTTGCTTGGCAATGTGACTGCAAAATGAATGTATTTTTTGTGATTTACCAAACTTTAGCATACCCATTCCTTAGACTAGTTTAATATTTTTCTCCAAATTAAAATTAAGCATGAAAGGTATATTTGACAATCTCCTGCATAGCCTCGGGCCATGGCACCCACAGTCCCCATGGAGCCCACTAGGGTGGAGACCCAGGAACGTTGTGGGGGTGACTCTTTTTTTTTAAGAACAAAATACACTCTTTTGAAAGCCTGTGACACCCCGACAGCATGTGTGGTCTCAGGCCCCTGTCATGAACTGCTGACTCACAATGCCGTCATCTGGGGTGGGGGAAACTGGAGAAGAGCAGGGTGTGGGGTAGATAGGTGCTCACCCACAGCCTGTTAGTGAAGTCTCCCAACTGCCTCCAGCTGTCCTGCACCTTGTAAATTGTCCTTCTGTTCCAGAGATGAAATCCTGAAGCTCATTATAAAACATCCAGTGGGTGGCAGGTGGTGCCTCCAACACTAGAAACATTTAGAGTTTTAAAAATTCTGTGAGATTTTTGGGGACTAAAAGACCTAACTGTTATGCAGAGTTTTATATGTATAAAATCGCAGACAAGTAAATAAATAGGCATATATGCATTTCTAAAATTTCTTATTTTTGAAGAAACGAAAGGTAGCCACCCTTATGCCCCTTCGCTCTTTTATGTTTTAAGAGTTTATTTGTATAAGAACTGGTGGCTCAGCAGGTTAACGCACAGGTGTATGAAGCCGGCCGAAGCCGCTTCAGCATGAGTTTGATCCCCACCCCAGAGGTGACCTGCATGGCACAGCAGATCTCCTGACCCGCCCGCTGCTCCCCTCAGCAGTGTACTTTGTCGATTTGCCTGTTCTGCTCCCCACTCTGTCTCTGGTGAATCCTCTCACCGCCCCTGTACCTCTGGCCTGTACCCCAGTTCTGTATAAATAAATAAGTAAATCTTGAAAGGAAAAGAAAAAAGGAACTAGTGTACAGACCAGAAGTGTGGGGGGTGGTGAGAGGACTCCCCAGAGACAGGGTTGGAGCAGAACAGGCAGATCCACTGAAATACAATGTTGAGGGGATGAGTGGGGAGACAGGAGGGGTCTGCTGTGCCCTGTGGTCACTTCCTGGCGGGGATCAAACCCACGTTGCAGTGGCTATGGACAGCTTTCCAGTGCTGAGACTTAACCCCTTATGCCACCGGGGGGGCCCCTTCCCTTTTTTCTGTGCACTCCCTCCCTCCCACCCTCTTCTCTGGTTACCCCCATTAGGTTGTCAGTGTCCACTAGTTTTCATTTTGCTTTGTCAGTTTTAATGCTTTGTTGTCTTATAGTCCCCCAAGTGTGAGATCGTCCCTGTGTGTCTGTCTCGCTCTGGCTAGCTTCACCTCACGTAGTGCCCCAAGGCCCTTCCATTTTGCTGTGTTTCACACCCCCCCCCCCCCCCCGCAGGCTCATTCCGGTGCATGTTCCCTGGAGCAGCTGTCTCTTCTTCACCTACTTCCACCACAGGCATAGGGTGCACCCAGACCTTAGCTTTGTACGTAATATTGCAGCTTTTTCTCTATGAGCCTTGGCAGAAGGCTGCAGTAAAATTTCATTTTTGAATGCTTTCTATATTTTTCTTAAAACAAAAAAAGAACAGTTTCTGGCAGAGGTTCATAAATACATATTTCCTGAAATGTGCATTTTTTTTTTAAAGTTTTTCATAGTGAAAGGGAGAATTAAGATTAAAGTATACTCAGGTAAAGTGTTTTAGTTTGCTTTCCTTTTTTTTTTTTAAAAAAATTATTTATGGATACAGGACTCACCAGCGACAGAGCGGTGCAGGGAACAGGCAGATCAAGAAAGTACACTGCTTAGGGGAGCAGCGGGGGGGAGGGGGGGATGAGAGGTCTGCCTCCGGGGCAGGCGGGGATCGAACTCACGCCGAAGTGGCTTTGCTTGTTGGTGCTGTGCTTTACCCCGCTGCGCCCCCAGGGAGGGCCTGCTTTCCTTTTTTAAAGTTCTCTTTTGCTTATGTTTTTATTTGCTATTTACTTCTCTTCATGACAGGTTTATTTTAGGACAGTGGAGCTTGTGCAGGAGCCTATAGAAGGATCTCCTGGTCTGAGTTTCTACTTCAAAATCAATGGGCGCCCCATATTTCTGAAAGGCTCGAACTGGATCCCAGCTGACTCGTTCCAGGACCGAGTGAGCTCAGACTTGTGAGTTTCCATCTGTGTCTCCCGCTCTTGGTTCTCTGCGCAGCCCACACAGCTGACAAACACCCACTTTACCTCTCCAGTTGCGGGGGCAGGAACACAGCCGGCGCAGAGTTCCAGGAGGCTGGGAACTCAGCCTGGGGAGCGCTGTGAACCGCTGTGCTTTTCTCACGGGCTGTCGTCCTGTAGTTAAACTATTGGAGACTGGTGAGACCGCCCGTTTTTCCCACTACTTTGATATTTTCCTCTGCAGGAACACGAGGATGACGAAAGCACATTTTGGATCGTTAGTCCCTGATAAGTTTGGCTTTTTTTAGTTTTCAAGAACACCTTCAATATTTTTATGCATGCTTTAAAAAATGGCAACTCATATTAACCCCATCATGCTGAGGTATTCGTGTACTGTTCTACTTTTAAAGAAGTAAAAAAAGTCTTTAAAATCCTAGATCTAGAAAAAGCCCACAACATTTTTCTGAAGTGCTGAGAACTTTACGTTCATTTGATCAGCGACTCTTTTACGTGATCGTGAAGATAAGCTCTGTGAGGTGACAGTAAAGACATTAACTGTGGCACGTGTGCCAGTGGGCATCCGAGCGCCCCTGAGTTAGAATGTGAGGTGGCCGGGAGCCCTGGTTTTGCCAGGAGGTAGAATTCTTGCTTTTGTCCTGCAAAGTATGTATATTGGAATTTCATGTGAAAATGAAATTATTTTCCCGCCAGACATGGGTGATTTGCCCTCCCCTTGCTTTTTCAAGAGCTGTTGCCCTCTCCTGGATCCCTGGTGCCTTTGCTGAGAGTGCGGCCTGCAGCAGGGTGGCTAAACGAGCTTATCCTTAGGTAACAGGTAGACAAGGTAGAGGAAATTGCTTTTTTTTTAAAGATGTATTTATGTACACAGAACTGAGGTACAGGCCAGAGGTGCAAGGCAGTGAGGAGAGGATTTAGAGACAGGGTGGGGAGCAGGACAGGCAGATGGACGAAGGACACTGCTGAGGGGAGGAGCGGGCGGGTCAGGAGAGGTCTTTGCTCCAACCTGCTGTGCCTCAGGAAGGGCCCCGTAGAGGAAATTTCTAGAAAAGGAACTGGAGGGGTGCAGGAAAGGAGATGAGTGAACCAGGCACTATTTTCGCAGCTTTGATTTTCTGTGATAGTTGGAAATGGTTGTGTAACATTAGCAGGTGCTCTCCCGGGTTCACAACTGTATGTTTTTTTTTTTTTTTTTTTTTTTTTTTTTTTTTTTTTTTTTT